ACTCCTGGGCTTAAGTGATTCTCTTGCCTCAGCCTCCAAAGTAGCTGGGACTATAGGCGCCTACCACAACGCCCAGCTATTTTTTGTTTGTAGTTGTCATTGTTGTTTGGCAGGCCTGGGCTGGATTTGAACCTGCCAGCTCTGGTGTATGTGGCTGGCACCTTAGCCGCTTGAGCTACAGGCACCAAGCCACCTATGATTGTTTTTTATTTGTTCTGTCTGGAGTGCCCTCCCACCAAATCATGGTTCAGTCTTGATCTTTCTGCTTAGATAGCAGTGCCTCGGGGATCCCTCTCCTTCCTTACATCAGCACTTAACTCTGCAGAGCCGATGTGGCCAAGCGCATTGCAGAGTGGCAGACACCGTTAAGCTCTTTGTGTATATCTTCTAAGATCTCCCCAATGATCCGAGGCTGTAGGCTTTGGACAGATAGTTTGAACTCAGACTCTGCACTCTTAACTATACTATCTACCTGTTCCCCTGTAGCAGTGTGAGAATTGCATAGAACATAAGACCCAAGAACTGAAACACAATGTATTGGAGGAAACTTCAGGCTGGAAGGGTGGGGGGGGGCTCTGTTATAGACTATTACTACTTAAACTTTACACACAAATCCTCTGAGGAGCTTGTTAAAAATGCAGGTTCTGACTCACAGCTGTCAACATGTATGTCTCTTAGTTGTTGGAAGGCAGAGTCAAAGGAGGAAGGGCACAGGGCTTGGGTGCTGTCAGGGCCTCCTCCCTGCTTAACCTATGGTAGGTTCAGGGCAAGGCCTGAGCTGCTGCATTGCTAGCCAAGGGCTTTCCATGTTGCTGGCCCACACAGCATGCTGAGTGATGAGGCTGTGTTGTTTCCTTAACTATGCCATTGGGCTAGTTGTTTACCCTTCTGGGCTTCATTTTCCTTCCTCTGAGGCTTTTCTACAGCTCTGTGATGTTGTGGCCCTTTTCTGAGCATGTACATAGAAATGTACACAGACCTAGTGTGTCTCATTTATGGTGTCTTTAGCCTGGGCAGGTTGGGGCGAGGTTATGCCATATATACCTTACCAGCCAGTAGCGTTCTTATTCTTAGTTTACAGTGGAAGAACCGCAGCTAAGCAACTCGTCCATATGCCATGGCTTTTCATATGGTAGAGCCAGAGTTGATTTTGTCTCATTCCAAAGACTGGGCCTTAACCCCTCCATGTAAGAGTATTAGTGATGTGGGTCAGAGGCTGGAGGTGTGTAGAAGGGCCTGCCCTGCCTAGTTCTATAGAGATTAGTGTGGGGGAGGTGCGTAGGCTGAGGCTGGGCCCAGGTTTCATTGGGCTAGGGTGTTGCATGTGGACAGAGGCAGAGTACGGATCAGAGACAGTGCTGCAAAGGAAGATGAGACCTGATTTCAGATGGTAAGTGATGACAAACGACCTATGGGTTTCATAGTGATCACACTTTGCACCAGGCTGAGGGGTTGCTGGGGCCCAAAGGTTGTAGCTGAGGAGTGTTAACAGAGGCTGGGAGGATTTGGGGACCGGCATGGCCGGTGTCTGGTGCAGCATGCCTCCATGTTGTTTGATAATGAGTGGCAGCAAGGATGGATGAAGGGACTTTCGCTGCAGTGGGAAGGAGTTGGCTAGCTGACCCAGTGTCAAATCGACAGGGGTGTTGAACATTCCTAGGCTGTTTGAGGTGGGTTCTGTACTTGACTTGACAGTTAGAAGATAGAGATCTGGCCAGAACACATAGACACAAACATAAATCCTGAAGTAAAATATTTTAAGGCTGTTTGAAATCGGTAGAAGAGCCATTGACTGACTGCCAAAGAATTGCACTGCCCTGAGGAGGCCGTGTGAGGGAGGACAGAGCTTCTGTGCAGGTGGTCGTCAAGGGGCTTTAAAGGGAGTGAAGCTCAGGCTAGCTCTTGAGGCTTTGAACTAAGTAAATGTGTGAAGTTCTCTGTATACGTCTAGGGCCTGTGCAGGTGTGCCTACATTTAGGCTGCCTGCTGGGGGCCGGGGGGATGACAGTAGGTACTCAGAAGGCTACAAAATACCAGGCACGTAGGTGGTTGCTTGCATTCATTCACTCATTCAGCTAGCATTGACTCAGGCCTGTGCTTCATCACCTGGCAAGGTGAGCTGTGGGCAAGTGGGACTCGGGATGTTCTGTGGAGGGAAGGACAGGAGACACTGTCCAGGTAGAAAGAGAGCATGGGGGAAGGAGGGGTCTGTGTTGTAGGAATCTGGTATGTTCTGGGGCCTGGAGCCAGCTTTCCTGGAGTGAAGGACTGGAGTTGGGAACACCCCCAGTGAGATGGTCAAGGAAGCTTGTGTGGAGTCCCATTTTGAAAGCCTTGAGCACCAGGCACGAGGGCACAACTGGGGTTTCAAAGTCAGTTCAGACTCTGCAGTGGCTGAGTGCCTGCCTGCTGGGTGCCAGGCCCTGAGTAGGTGTTTTGACACATAATCTCTTGCTGTCCCCTACTTTCAGCCAGGGAGGCAGAGGTTCCCCGTTTTTACAAAGGAGAAAACAACTGTGGATGATGCAGCAATATAGCAGAGCTGGAATTTGAATTTGAATCTTTTGACTCCATGCCTAGAGTTGTCTGTGTCATTGGTTCACCTGAGAATGCCCAGGGACCACACCAGGGAACCAGGTGAAGGGGTTTGGAAACCAAAAGAGTTCCCACCCCTCCCTACCAGAGTAGAGGCTTTCTTTGCATTTGTGGGAATGAGTAAGTTCCACCCCTTGAACATCTAGGGGTGGGGGGCTGCTGCGGGAAGAGTGGGGAATTGCTGTTAAGGGTGGGCGGGATGAAGCGAAGCCTGGGTTCCTAGATGGCAGCACAGGGTGTGTGAAGTTGGGACCCGGCATCAGGACGCCTGGCAGGGCTCCCAGCAGTGTGTGATCAGCTCAAGACAAGCCTTCTGAGGGTGCTAGTCAGCAGGCTGAGTGGGGCCTGAGAACTTTAATTTCTAACAATTTCCCAGGTCATGCTGATGCTGCTGGCCCACTGTGAGAACCACTGAAGTAAAAGAGTGAGACATGTCACTTTAAAAAATGTTTAGGTTATTTAAAAAAAATTATTAATTTTTACTATGGTAAAATATACATAAAATTTACCATTTTAAACCTTTTTAAAGGGTTTGGGAGCAGTAAGTATATTCATATTGTGTGGCCTTCACCACCTTGCATTTCCAGAACTTTCCCATCTTCCCAAACTGAAGCACTATTCCTGTTCAACAGTAACCCCCCCAACCCCTGGCACCAACCAATCTATTCCTGCCTATATGAATGTGACTACTACGGACCTCATAGACGTGCAGCCCTATAGGATTTGTCCTTTTGTGACTGGCTTAATGAGCATAATGTCCTCGAGGCCCATCCAAGTTATAGCATGTGTCAGAATTTCCTTTTCAAGGCTGAGTAACATCCATTGTACAGCCAGAGCACCTTTTGTTTCTCTATCATCCGTCAGTGGACCCTGGTTGCTTCTACTTTTTGGCTATCTTAAATGCTGCAGCTGTGAACATGGGTGTGCAAATTTCTCTTAAAGGTCTTGCTTTCAGTTGTTTTGGGTAAATACCTAGAAGCAAAATTGCTGGATCAAATTCTATGTGTAATTTTTGAGGACCTGCCATTGTTTTCCACAGTGAAATATGCTACTCTTGTCTTCTCTTCACAGGTAGCCTTATTTTGGTTTAGTCACCTTGAGCACTGATGACAACTCTGTAAGCTGGTGAGGTCTCTGAGTGATTGTAGAGAGGAGGATGGGGACCCAGAGCTGAGGCTTACAGGGCTTCCCTTGTAAGAGGCCAGGAGCAGTGGCCAAGGAAGGTCTGACATCCTGGAAGGACAGGAGGCAAAGGCAGTATGAGTCCCAGACCTCTGGTGTCAGTGCCATGTGTGAGGCCACAGGTTGGAGCACTGGAGCAGCTTCCTGAAGTTCTGGGATGGGGGGTGGGAAGGAGAGGACCACAGGGGTGGGAGGAGGGAGGGGACTGGGCTGCCCCCCAGTGCCCTGATCTGTCATTCCACTTTAAAGGTGAAGAATGAGGCTCGAAGAGAGAAGAGGTGTGTCCAGAGTCCCACTGTGTCACAGTGGCTGACCTAGTATGCCACCCCTGGAGGGCTGCTGGCATACAGGCCCTTCTTTGCCTGACCACTCTGTCCTACTGTCAGCTGCAGGTGACCCTGACTGGCCAATGTCTGTGGTGGCATCAGAGCAATTCAGTTGTGGAAAGTGACAGCAGGACCCAGTGTGAGGTCATGGCAGCCTTGTTAATGCTTGGCCACTTGTATAGGAGCCCATACTTGGGAGAAGCAGCTGTGCAAGGCGCTCCTAGAGGAGGTGGTATCCGGGTAGCAGGGCCCTCCCAGGTCTCTTGTGAGCTTTGGAGTGGCTGGATTGGCAGCATGTCAGGGGCCAACAAGAACTGGGATCCTGAACGCAGACCCTGACCTCTGGGGAGGGGACAACAGAGGCATAGAAGCCATCTGCTGCCTTGCTCTGTTCCTCCTGGCCACAGGTGCCACTGGTGTGCCTAGTGGTCTCTTAAGGGATGTGCTGTCAGAGCACCTTCCCTCATAGGCCCTGGGAGCTGACTTTTGCTGCTTCTGTCCCTTTGAGACTCCTTCACTTGAAAGAGAAGGAGCTGGCCCCACACTGCCCAGGGAAGAAGTCCAGCTGGGTGAGCCTAGTCCTTAGCTGCTGGGTGAAGCGGGACAGCAGAGTTACCCAGGGGCAGCAGGAGCCTGTGGTGCTGGCATGTTGCATATGGGGACAGGAGCTGCTGGGAGGCCCATGGATCTGGCAGCCTTCGTCCCTGTGTCCTGGAGGGTAGGAGCAGCCTGATCTGGGTGTTCCTATGTGATGATGGCGTGACTTCTGGGCCAGACTGGGAGCACCAGTGCTCAGCACTCACTGGCCTGTGCCTTTGGTGGTTGCCCACCTTGAGTTTTAGTCTCCTTATCTATAAAATGTGGGTCATCATAACCCTGCTGCCAGGTGGGGAGTTCCATGAGGTGAGGAGTGTGTAGACGCACCTGCCTGTTACTATATTTATCCCAACAAAATCTGCAAGAGGATGGATCGAAGGTCAGGAAGCAGAAGAAGCTTTGAGGATGGCAGATGATGCGGTTGCAGTGTGATCCAGCCCTGGCGGTTATCTAAGGCTTCCTGGAGGAGGCGACCTGGTCTCAGGGGATAAATACAGGTTGTGGGGGGTGAAGCTACAGAGCTGGGTATTCAGAACTGTTAACACGGGTATTGAAAACCATGCCGTTCCTGGGCCCTGGCCTCCTCCCCTGGGGCCCTCTGCAGGTGGAGAGGCCCTCCTGGCAGGACACAGCTTGCAGGCTAGGAAGGCCTGCTGAGGAGTGGGGCTGACCTGATGGAGCAGGCTGCCCAGGCTTTCCCAGTTCAAGACCAGTCAAACTGAAAAAAGTATTTTGGAGGATGACAATGTTACTGACATTAAAATTTGTCAAGTAAAATTGTTAAAGAAAAATCTCAGCAAGTGAGAAGACTTGAGGCCACTTCCTGTCAGTCTTAACTGGCTTGAGAGACCAGGGCCACCGCCACGGGCCTAGTTACTTACCTTATCACCCTAGATAAGAAGCCTGGTACCTCTAGGCCTCCAGTGTCTATCTCAGAAGTACCCAGAAACTGGAATCCAAATCCAGAGTCTATGTGGTAGGCCCTCTGCCAGCCTCAGACAGAAGCTGGTGCTGAGGCTGGAAAAGCTGCTCAGTCCAGACCCAGCTCTGCTGCTGGCTGCCCACCTTGGGTGGGAGAGGCGTAGACCGGAGGGGCTGGGCCACACATTTCCTCACGGATGGGAAGGTTCACCAGGACTTTCCTACTTGACCTGACACCTTCCAAAAGGACCATGTCAGGGACTTTTTCTGTTAGGTAGTAGTGGCTACAGTCTCCATCCCAGAGGTCAGTATAGATCATAGGCCAGGAAGGCCCATGATCTGGCAACCTGGATCTCCTCCTGCTAAGGTGGGGTGAGGCGGTGGGGAGAATGAGACTGGCCGCTGCTGCATGGGGGAGGGGGGCACTGGTTCCACCCTCCCTGTGGAGAGCCCACTCCAGTGCTGGAAGCCTTTTCACACTCAGTGAGGCAGTGGGTCTCCCTGGTCTCCTTTCAGTCTCCTCTACTCCTGAGGATCAGAGATTTGGAGCGGCCGGCGTGGGTTACACAGGGGTGGTAGATGCTGGAGGGGCTTGTGATTTGGTATGGCATTACATTTTGTTTTGAACCAAATGCTTTCTGGGAAAACAAAATGAACAGATTTGATGCAAACAGTGATGTTTTGGAAAGAAAAAGTCCTCATCCCCATAATAGAATGTATTTTTAGCCCTAACCTTTACTTTTCTCCTCATGATTCTCAAAAAGACCCCACAGTTAGGTCTTGGTACTACCTTGAGTCACACCCATAACACTCCCAGGACTAGTGGGAATGGTCCTAGCACTGTGGGTCCAGGAGTGTGTCAGAGGAAGCCTAGCTTTTAGTCTTTCAGCAGCCTAAATGGACTGACTGATCCCAGGGTCCCAGGTGGGCCTTTGGTGCTGCAGAGGCAGGGCTGGTCTTGCTGGCTCCACACCCTGGCAGGAGGGCGGAAGGGGTGCTGGGGGCTGGGCGGCAGGCAGAGAGGGTGGCAGGGGAGTGAGTGCGCAATTTGGGCAGTTACTTTCTGAAGTGGCTTTAGTGGTTGACTTTGAGGAAGAGGCCTCTTGGCAGAAGGAAAAGGTTGAGGGAGTTATACAGTTTCCTCCCACTAATAAACTTCGTATTTATGGCTTACCCTCATGTAGGAATGATGAATGCTTTCAGTCTGTGGCAGATTCAGAGTGAACTTCTTAACTGTGGAAGGCATAAGAATTGAAGGCCTTTCCCTAGAAAAACCATGGGCCAGTCATCTGCAGACAAGCTAGCCTAGCCCTTCCACAACACAGAGGCTGGGATGGATGCATGGCCAGGATAGGTGTCCAAGGCACGTCCCGGCCCTTTTTGTTTAGGGAGGCACAGTGGGATGGGGTCCCTTCTTGTAGTTGGCCCTGAGTCCTGAACTCAGTCTTGCCATGCGCCCTTGGACAAGTCGGTTTTCTAGTCTGGGAATGAGAAGTATTAGGGCATTCCTTTCCTGTGCTTGCCTATGTCCTGTGACTTTCAAGACAAGACAGCCTGAGAATGTGGAGCATGTGACAGGACAGCTGGCAGTATAGGTGGGCTCGGCTGGTTCCATTGAAGGAACGAGAACAAAGCCTGGACCTCAGATGGGATTCTGGTCTCAACTCTGCCACTAGCTTGTCCTACAACCTTGGGCAGGTTCACACCTCCCAGGTACACAAAATCAGGGCAGGTTCCTTCCAACTTTGCCATCTCTGCTGAACTAAGCTCAAGAGAGAATGTATAACTAAATGTCCTTTGGGAGGGAGGATAATGGCTTTGGTAGAAAGTCCACTAACTGGGTAAACCTTTGCGAAAATGTTTATACAGTTTGTATGAAACTAAAGTATAACTCAAGTAGACTCTCACTTTGGAAATAACTTGTGACCTTTGTCATTATAGGAAGATATGGCTGCTCACGTTGGCGCTTCCCGGACTCCCCAAGAAGTGATGGAACATTACGTGAGCATGTACATCCATGGCAACCTGGGCAAAGCCTGCATTCCTGACACAATCCCCAACCGGGTGACAGACCACACCTGCCCCAGTGGAGGCCCCCTCTCGCCCAGCCTCACCACCCCGTTGCCTCCTCTGGACATTTCCGTGGCCGAGCAGCAGCAGCTGGGTTACATGCCTCTGCGGGACGACTATGAGATTGAGTATGACCAGGATGCTGAGACACTTATCAGCGGGCTCTCGGTGAACTATGATGACGATGATGTGGAGATCGAGCTCAAGCGTGCCCATGTGGACATGTATGTGCGGAAGCTGAAGGAGCGACAGCGACGGAAAAACATTGCCCGCGACTACAACCTGGTGCCAGCCTTTCTGGGGAAGGACAAGAAGGAAAAGGAGAAGACACTGAAGCGCAAGATCACGAAGGAAGAGAAAGAGCTGCGCCTAAAGCTGAGGCCCCTCTACCAGTTCATGTCCTGTAAGGAGTTTGATGACTTGTTTGAAAACATGCACAAAGAAAAAATGCTCCGAGCCAAAATCCGAGAACTGCAGCGCTATCGGCGGAACGGAATCACTAAGATGGAGGAGTCAGCAGAGTATGAGGCTGCGCGGCACAAACGGGAGAAGAGGAAGGAGAACAAAAACCTAGCAGGCTCCAAACGGGGAAAGGAGGATGGCAAAGACGGAGAGTTCGCTGCCATCGAGAACCTCCCAGGTTTCGAGCTCCTGTCAGATCGTGAGAAGGTGCTCTGCAGCTCTTTAAATCTGAGTCCAGCCCGTTACGTAACTGTGAAAACTATTATCATTAAAGATCACCTCCAGAAACGACAAGGAATCCCCTCCAAAAGTCGCCTTCCTAGTTATTTGGACAAAGTCCTAAAGAAAAGAATTTTGAATTTCCTCACAGAGAGTGGCTGGATATCCAGGGACGCGTCCTGAGGCTGGAACAGCTCTGGAGCCACAATGACCTGGGGGTGCTTTCCCCCTTGTTGCTCTTTTTTTTAAACAAATTGAGTTCTTTTTTTAAGATAAAAGTTCTTTTCATGGTCCTCTGAAAGCAGCAATAGTAACAATCTTATATTGGATCATGGGGGAAAGAAATGTGTCTATTTTAACTTAATCCTTAAAGTAATACTTAAAGATGATTGCCCTTTACCTGGTCAGTTTGGAGAGTATTATGAGATTGGATAATTTACTTTTATTTTGTGAGCGTTTTTTCCCTTTGGGTACAAAAACTATTGTGCTATGGGTAACAGAAGCATGGTTTTCTGCTGGACTGCCAAGCCATCAGCGCTTTCCTGGTGACACAGCTCTTCTCAGGCAGGGCTGCTGGAGGCTCCCCTTCTCTGAGCTCATGTGACCCCAGCTGACCCCGGCATGGTCCCGGGCACACAGCACTTTATGTGGAGGCAGGTCAGGCACAGACTCCACTGTGTAGCAGATGAAGAAAGTGAGGCCAGAGAACAATAGGAGGACATAACATGGAAACTTGAGGAAGAATTTGTGGTTCAATACAATGACCAAATCACCTTGCACTTAACTGTTGGCAGCAGCAGTCTGTGGTCCCCAGATCCCCAAACTGAGCCTTGCTTCATTCTGATCTGGGTAAAGCCTATAGATTCACTTGGGAAGAGCAGTGCCCCCCCCCCCCCCTTGGGGCAGGCTCCTTTGGTGTGGCCATGTCCCTTCTGAGCAGGAAAGCAAGCTAGTGGTAGGGACAGGGCTTCTGTAAACCAGCTTCTGGGGGTGCTGCTGTTAGTATGTGCAGTGCGTTATACTTGGAAGAGCCCATTCAAGGCTGACAGTTCTGAATTCACAGTTGCAAGAAATCTTTTTTGCGGAAAACATGAGCGCACTCTCCTGGCAAAGCATCCCTTCAGTCACCAGGCCAGGGCAGTTCTGACCAGCATCCTGAGCCTTGCTTCTAGCTCGCGTGCTGCTTCTGTTTGCTGTCCTGAATCAGACTCAGAAATGGCTTCTTCCTAGTCCTCTCAGTTTTTTTCTGGGGCCTTCTTTCAAGGATGTACACGGTACCTTCTTCCTGAAACTTGAGGAAGTCTTTTGTCTTCCGGCTGCTCAGGGTTCTCCCGTCTAAGACCCTGCTTTAAGGAGAGTCTGTGGAGTGACAGGGTCCCCAGCACCCCATTCTTCCAGGAGCTCGTCTCGCCTCTCTTGCCCCCATAGGTACCAAGAGACTGTTTACCTCCCACAATGTTTGGGCTTGAAGTTACATTAAAGTGAAGTTATTTGAAAGAAAAAAAAACCTCATCATTTCCAAGGACAACTTAAATACTGTGCCTTTTCCTTTCTTTTTACATCCTTCTCTCCCCTAGGGTAAATTTTCAGCATTAAATAAAACAGTTCAAATATATTGTATATGGCTTAGTTGTAAAATACATCGCATGCTGGGCAGAAGCACTCCCTATTAACTGAGGCTAGAACTCTTAACGATACAAAGTACTGAGCAGTGGTATTACTCATGAGGGCCACCTCCCTATCATCCCCTGCAGGACAAATATGATTGACAGAAAGCTGATCCTGTCTACCACTGAATATAATGGAGATGGTGCTAAGTTTTTACAGTCATCTTGGCCAGTCATCTCAAAGTGGGTTTCCTGGCCCTGCATCAGTGTCCCCCCAGGAACTTGTTAGAAGGTTACACACTCAGGCCTACCCAGTCTCTGGAGTCAGAAATTCTAGGGGTGGAAACCAGAGAACTGTTTTTACAAGCCCTCCAGTTGATGGGATGCAGTCTCAAGTTTGACAACCACTGGCTTCAGCTATTCTGGTGTCTCATTCCTTGATTTAACACCAGAATCCTAATTTGATGAGGTTTTAAATTTAGTCTTATTTTTATAAAAAACAACTGCCAGACTTATATTAAGCTTGAGGAGCAGAAAATCCCTGCAAATGTGTATGGCCCAGCCCAAGAGCTCTCAAATGAAAATCTTTGTGAAGCAGGTTTTTAGTATGTTATTTTTTTGATGGTATGAAGAATTTATTTAGGCTTGACTGTTTTAAAACACCATGATGAATGTATAATTAATTTATGTTAAAGTATTAACACTTTGTTACAAGGGAAAGGTAATCTTATGATCAGTTGCCTCTTAAGTCTGTTAACTCCAGCTGTCACTGTCACAATAGTGTTTACTTCTGCTGGTAGCTCAGAGCCTCTACATTTTTACATTTAATTCTTGTGATAAATAAGCTACCATAATCCCATGGAATTAGGTCTTTTTTTTTTTTTAAATTGAAGCCAAACTTTTGAGTCAAAAAGTTGGGTAATTTTCTTCAGCTATTTGAAATAATGCTCTCTGGATGGCCAACATTCCAAGAATGTATTAAAAACCGAAACGCTGACTACCATTTTTATTATCCTTTTACATATTAAACAAGTTGAGAATGAAATGGTGTTACTGCTTGCTTCTTGCCACTAGTTTCTTGAAGCTGTTTTTCAGAGCACACAGATCTGGGTGTGAGCCAGTGCCCTCACACAGGCAACTGTCATGTGACATGGTCCATTCTGACACTTTTATATCAAACCAGTTTTCCCAACAGAAAAAGTTGCTTGTTAGGCAGCAACCCTTTCATGTCAGCCCTTCTCCCCGAAAGTAGCAACACATCCAGACAAAGACCAGTCTTCCCTGGAGCCAGGCTGATTTTCAGATGCCTCAGGTCTGCTGTAATGTGGTTTTGACTACCCACACGTAAAACTTATCCTGTAAGTAGGCAAAATCCAGACTAGAATGCAGAACAGATCTTTAACTTACAGTATAAACATGTACATAATTAAAAGAGGTTTTCCTATAACAAGTTCAGTGTCCCTAATCTGAAATGCTCCAAAATCTGAAAGTTTTTGAGCTCCAGTGTGCTGCTCAAAGGAAAGGCTTGTTGGAGCATTTTGGACTCAGGGTTTAAGGGTGCTTAACCAGTAAATTTAACTAACAGTCTTGTCAGTGATGGACCACCTACATTAACATGGCTCCGTGAGGTTGTAATACCTTGTTTTCATTGTCCCTTTTCCATGTTTAGATGCATTACAACCCATCATTGTGTTCCAAATGCCTACAGTATTCAGCACAGAAATGCAGCCTAGGAGTGACACGCTATACAGTTTAAGTTCAAGTAAGTACACTATAATGCTTGCACAGTAAAAAAAATTGCCTGACAAGGTATTTCTCTGAATGTATCCCTATTAAGTGACACATTTGACTATTCCAAAATCAAAATTCAAAACTCTGGTCCCAAGCATTTCAGATAAGGAATACCCAACCTATGGTAGTGACCAGATTGAAACTTCCAGTGAAAAAATACTTCGCCACGTGAAGCTATACTGTCTCTTAGTGCTTTTAGCAATTGCCGTTCTGGATGAAAAGGGGATTATAGTACACATTCATAGAAATCTGTGTGAAAATTCACTTTTCTTATTCAGCCTTCTTTTTACAGAGGAGTTTCAGAGAGGTAAGTGGTATACCCCCTGCTACACACCATAGAAACTCCCAGGCATGTTTTCTCAAATATGCTATGCTGCCTTTAGTTCTGGGCTTAGTTTTTCTAAGAGTTGTGGTCTCATTGTTACCCAGGCTGGACTTGAACTCCTGAGCTCCAGTAATCCTCCTGCCTCAGCCACTTGAGTAGCTGCGACCAAAGTGGGTATATTTTTGACCAAATAATGCAAGAAGTTTAAAAGAAAGGAGAAAAATATTTGGAAATAGTCTTAAGTTGACATTTTAATTATGGGACTATAACCTGCGTCTTCCAAAATTCTAAGTACATGGATCACTATGAAAGTTTTAAGACAATTACTCTCCAATATTTCACTTCTAAGAAACAGTCAATGTGCCCTTTCTGATTCACCTATCTAAGTTTCAACTTGCTTGGCTTATCTGCGTTGCTGGGAAGGCTTCAGTTTGTTTCTGTCTCTGGAATTTGATGTTTCTTGACTTTTGTGTATCTCAAAACTTTTGTAATGACCTATGTTAAAGTAAGTTGACTGTGCCCATCTTTCCTGGGCATTGAACAGTATTGCCCTTTAATACTAGAAGTACTGCTTTAGAAGCAAAGGTAGTGGAAGGTTATTTTTTTTTTATTTAGAAGATACTTCCATCACTCCTTTTCTCCTAAGCCCTAGATATTAATGTAAATGAGGATCAGAGGGTCCTTTGGCCAGAAACAGTCCTCAAATCACCTTTTACAAATCATGTATACTCCCGTGATGGTTCCTGAGTGCTTTCAGCCCCCCCCCCCCGTGTTTTGTGTTCTTAGGCTGCATGTTCCCCTGCAGCACTGGCCCAGGCACATGCCAGCCAGGGGCTGATGTGGGGAGACCCTCCCTGTGGGTGTGGAAGTGTGTGTGTCAAGCCAGCAGTTTCAAGGCTGGAACAGAGACAACAGGAAGGCTGAGCCACATTTGCCTCAGTGGCTCAAAGATCTCCCTCATCAGGGGACACAAAACTGTTAACAGAAAGTAGGAAAGTAAACATATTAGGGCTTTAATCCTCTTAAATATTTTAAACAACATTTAAGACATACTAAACACTCCAGTTAATTTTGAGAAAGTCCATCTTACTAGGCAATATACCTTGAGGCTGTTAGTAACTAATAGATTTAAATATTTCAACATTTAGATGAACAACACAGAGAAAAAGGAATTGATTCTGTCAAACTCAAATTACTGGCAAAATAAAGGTGGTGAGAACTGTTAAAGTACATGTGTTCACATATATCTGCAGAAAAGGTAGAGGTCCGTCCCATTTAGCAGCTAGGTGGTGGATGATTATAAATGAACTCACATTCTTCACCAGAGTCATATGTATACATATATTTTTTTTAGCAAGAAAAATGTCTCAACTCAAATGTACAGTGGGCTATGTGTGCCAGTAATAGGCAATATGACAGTGAGTGCAGATGAGACACAGTGCAGACCGGTATGTCCAGGAAGCCAAACAGCCGAATTCCTGAAGACCTTTTATTTGTTCAAAGTACTGTGCCTTTCCCAGAGTGTGAGCAGAGACACCATTACTCCCATGAGTCTGGAGGCCCTGCAGTCTCCTGCTGGTGCTCTTCTGTAAGCTTGTGGAACTACTAAATGTGGAACTAACAATCAAGGAACAGACTCCGGAATTATTAACTCCTGAATTAGAGTTCATTAACACAATTGTGCAACTGGCTTAATCTTCTCTTTAGCGACTGGCTACTTAAGCTTTCCAACAGGGTTTGGGAAAAAGTCAAATGTATTCACAGATGAGAAAAGATAAACCAGCTTTTTAAGAGTTATAGCAAGTGATTTTAAAAAACCAAAACCCTGCAATAGGCAGCTAAGCTTCCTTCACCACCCCTACCAGGGCGGGTCTCAGGGTGCGCCCATGCAGCTTATACCCCACCTTGTTAACTAGTGCCACGGTGCCTGGCTCTTTCCCCTCAACTGGAGTGTGGAACAAAGCCTCATGTTCATAAGGGTCGAACTTGGCTCCAACAGGGTTCAACTTGAGTAAGCCATGCTTTGTGAACACCTTCTGAATCTGGACTTCAGTCATTACGAGGCCCTCATAGAGGTTCTTCAGGTGAGGGTTATTGTCTTTAATTTCTTCTTTTGGAACACACTGTGTTGCCTTCTCCAAAATGTCTGCAACCTCCAATAAGTCCTTACAGAAGGCCTGGATGCCTAAATGAAATTAAAGATCAAATGCATTCTGTATCAACTGCACGGGGTGATCAACACTGAGCACTGCTTACTTCATACACGGATTATTAAATAACCTGTCAAATCATTCTTTTGCTCTCAAGTTTCAATTTCTTGATAATTAAAAACTTATAAAACCTCCAAAAGCCTTTTCTGGGACAAGACCTAGAATTTACTAAAATGTGGATGAAATGAAGCACAGGGAGAGGGGAAAATACCCTTGAGACATCCGGTCAAAGATACCAAGTAAGCAATAGGATATATGGGACTAGGTCTCTAAGCAAACATCTGAGCTGGATGTGGAGACCCATACACCAATGCCCAGTAAATCCAGCAGAGTGCCCAAGTCACCCAAGGAGCACAGCAAAAAGAGGCCTGGTACCACATGCTGAAAAATCCTAGCATTCTGAGGTCAGACAGATAAGAAGCCAACAAAGGGTATTACCAGAGAGGAAGAATATCAGGAAATTGAGCTGAACTATCAGGAAAACAGTGTTTAAGGAGGCCTTTATTATCTGTGTTACGTGTGGCAGTAGCCAAAATATGGGACTTGTTTCCACGTGGCCTCTCATCCCACCTCCACCCATTCTAGGGCAAAGCTCTTTCACTCGAGCCTTGGGTTCTTCATCTGTACCACCTGACTGCTGTGACTATCCCCACAGTGAAAACTCAAAAGGTATCCTAATGTCCAACAAATACCACCGACATGGAGCCTGGAACTGGGCCTCAATGCCACTGCCATTACTTAGTAACTCTAAATGTGAGGCAAGTGAATAAGCTCAGTGATCTCAACTATAAAATGGGAAGGACAGCAACAAAAATATCCAAAGGTAACAATGTAGATGGCATGCTGGGAATTCTGCAGGGCTGGCTATGCTACCTCTGCAACAGCTGGGGGCATGGGCTTGGGAAGCAGACTCATGCCAAGGTGTCTGTTCAGGGTGCAGTAAACCCACTCACTATGAACGGTCTCACCTTAAACAGTTCTCAGTATCAGTCCTGACTGCACACTTTGTTCCTACACACACCTTTACTGCTAACCCATTTAAAAAAACAGGAGTCCAATTGCCATCCTCCTTCCCCTCCATCTAGTCCTTTGACACCCCACATATATGCGCATCCCTTCCCCCCATATCACACCCATAGTCACCATATAACTTTGCCTCCTCCACCAACTTCTGGCTCCTCTGCCTCAAGTTCTCAGTATCCGCCAAAGCTCGCTTATATTTTTCCTAAAAGAAAAAAAGGAAAAATAGAGATTTCTGTGAATAAATGTGGAACAAATTTACAGGAAAGCAAGCCTGATTTGAAAATAATTACTTGACAAGCTCCAAGTCGGAACACAAATAATGTCTACAATTTTTGGAATTGTGGACTAAGTGCAGCTTAAGAAGAATAATTTATGCCTGTGCCAGTGTGTCCAACAAGTGGAGAATGATATATAGTCTCTAAGCCCCTTCTTAGTCAAGTGTGCAGTGAGAGAAAGGATAAGAACTTACGCTTTCCAGGGGTTCTCATGATCCTGTCATAAGCAAGAACCATTACTTTCCCCAGTATAATGTCCAACTTAAGGGAATCCTAGAACCCTAGTTAGGGGCAGACCCATCTCAAGAATCGATACCTTGGAGGAAAGGTTAGGAGGATGATGTACATGGGTGGCACAGTTTAGGCCTCTCTTCCATCAAAGAGACAAAACTCCCTCAACAACCTTTTGGTATTTTTAGTGCTGCCCAGAGGGTGACTCAGTTTAAACATTCATTGTTAAGAACCATCTGAGTTCTAGTATCTTCCAATTTCTCACTACTGTGCCTATAAACTCATCTCCTGAGCTTTTCTAACATTTACTAAACTACTGTGGGGGCCTCTGTTAGTCTTTGGGCAACCACAAGGCACCAGCAAGAGCTCCAAGTCCGAGTGGTGCTGGTTCAAACTCCAGCTCTTCCAGAATTATGGTAAGGATTAATATACAAGCCTAGAACAGTCCCCCGCACATACTGTTTGATGTCATAATTCTTAAATCCTCAAAGAATTTGATTTTAGCCACATATGCTCTTCACATGGAGTAATAAACCATATTACTATCTAGTTTATAAAATTCCTACTTACCTAGGAGGGCACCACATAACCACATTCCTGCCCTGAACTCTTGTACTTAGAATTTTTTTTTTTTTTTTTTGAGACAGAGCCTCAAGCTGTCCCCTGGGTAGAGTGCCATGGCATTACAGCTCACAGCAACCTCCAACTCCTGGGCTCAAGCGAGTCTCCTGCCTCCGCCTCCCAAGTAGCTGGGACCACAGGCGCCCGCCACAACACCCGGCTATTTTTTGGTTGCAGCCGTCATTGTTGTTTGGCGGTCCGGGCTGGGGATTTGAACCCGCCACCTTAGGTGTACGTGGCTGGCGCCTTAGCCGGTTGAGCTATAGGCGCCGAGCCTGTACTTAGAATTTTATGGTTCCAACCATATTATATGCTACTCATTTGTACAGACCATTTAAAATCTTATATATAATAAGTATGGTGGCTCAAACCGGTAATCTTAGCACTTTAGGAGACTAAGCGGGTAGGACTACCCAAGGCCAGGAGATCAAGACCAGCCTAAGCAAAACCCTCTCACTATACAAGATACAGAAAAGAACCAGGTGTGGTGGCATATGCCTATAGTCCCAGCTACTCAGGAGGCTGAGGCAGGACGACTGCTTTCCCAGAAGTTTGAGGTTGCAGTGTATTATGATTATGCCACTGTACTCGAGCCTGGGCAGAGTGACACTCTGTCTCAAAAAAACAACAAAAACCAAAACAAACCATGGAAAGATTATTCTTATGCCAGTGCCACATAACTGAGTTTTAGTCCTTGCTCTGGCAGTAAGTTCCTACTGAGCTTGCTGCAGGCCATGGACGAACAATTGACCACCTCTGGCTTTGGTCTGTCATCAGTGAAACTTGGAACCTTTATGTGGCCCCTGGGAGAAATAAGCAGAGCACCCCCACAAAAGCCCTTACCGTGGTCTCCTTCAGCTGCTCTTCTAACTTGACCTTCTCTTCTAAGAGAATCTTCTCTGTACAGGGAGGATCTGTCTTCTGTTCATTTTGACCCACATCTTCTTCCAAGTTCTGCCCATTGTTTTTTTGTTTTGTAGCTGTACACAACAACCGAGGAGAGGATCTAAAGAAAAAGCTACACATTAGAAAGGAAGACTTTGGGTTTTTGCTGCTTAAAGTCAGATGTATAACTTTAGAAATTTGGGATGATTCCAACTATTTGCTATTGACTTGTTAGGGAGAAAAGATCTAACAATGGCAAGTTATGTATGATACACTCTAAAGTAACTTCAGAGATACAGTCAACTTGGACCTCAGCATGGACTTAATGGAGTAGCTACTTGGAAAAGTTAAGGCCCTCTGCTGATGCCAAAGATGGATGATCAGACATCTTGCCCACAGGGCTCTTACCGTCATGCTAAAAAGGGAAGATATCTACACACAAAGAACTGTAACTTGGGGTTTAAAGGTAATAAAAGAGGAAACCAAATGATTTAGGAGGTGGAGTAAGAGGACATACCTGGCTTTGGGAAAGGATCTGTAAGATAGGGAATAGTTACACATGTGGAGTCTGGTATGGACAGGAGAGATGTGCTTTAGGAAGAGGAAACTGCTTGGACAATAGCATGGAGATAGGAAAGAAAGAGGCATGTAAGGAGGAAATGTAAAGAACTTTTAGTACTGGAAATGGCTCAAGATTCTCCAATTTGATCCCCAAACGAAAAGGTTAAGTGATAAGCCCAAAGTCACAAATCCATTAGTGAGTGATAGTATAAAATCTTACAAACCCAGACTACTTTAGGATCAGTAGAGCCCTTTTTCATTCTGCCATAGTCCAATCTGAGAATAAACTACATTCCATTTCCCTCCCAGACTGAAAGGTTAGTTACAGTGAGAACTATGACTACCATGCAGCTCTCTTGCCTCCCCATAAGTCGAGCACCTTCCACAAGACCACAATTTCAAAGATGCTGACTCAGCAATCATTTTCCAGCAATTAATTCCAAATACAAAACTACCAATTACTTGTGTCAAAAACCTTCTTACTCAAGTATTCTAAGTGAGTGACTACTTTTAGCTCCTATGTTGTTTTTTCTTTTGTTTTGTTTTTTGAGACAGAGCCTCAAGCTGCCTCCCTGGGTAGTAAAGTGCTAGGGTATCACAGCTCACAGCAATGTCCAACTCCCCGGCCCAAGGAATTCTCTTGCCTCAGCCTCCCAAGTAGCTTGGGACTACAGGTGCCCACTACAATGCATGGCCATTTTTTGGTTGTAGTTGTCATTGCTGTTTGGCAGTCCCAGGCTGGATTCAAATCTGCCAGCTCTGGTGTATGTGGCTGGCGCCTTAGCTGCTTGAGCTACAGGCGCTGAGCCTGTTTTGTTTTTTAATATTAATGTATCTTAACAAAGCTGGCACTCACCCATTAATCACCTTCACTATAGGTGACCGTCACCTGGCTGCCTGGTCTCCTCATCCAAGTGAATTCTTTCCTTAAGGAAAAAGACCAGAACCTGACCACACTCCGCCCAGTTTCTACCCAATGTTGGTCCCCAGTAGTTTCTCTAATCAATAATCCCGTCCTATACAACTCCTCCGACAGAGAAGATGCTAAATATCTGCCATAGTAACTTCAGAGGTAGAACCTTCAAAAAGCAAAAGCCACAGGTTAGAAGAAAAAAAGAATCACTGACTCTTGTGACCTTAAGCTGTAGAGCGTGCACTTGTCTAAATAAACTCCTCTGGCCCACAGCAGGGCAGACTCTATTGCTCTTTTGACCCCAGACGGCAGAGAGGTGTTGCTGGAGGAGGAGTAGGAACAGAACTTTCTCGAGTTCCTCTCTGGCCCTGGCCTTGAGCTGCGCGTTGCAGGTCGGAAATGAGTCAGTCATTTTAACTAGGGCGCACCCGGCCGGGTTCTGTCCCGCTGTGTGACCTTGGGCAAGTCTCGGGCTTGCTGGGTTTTCCTCAACCACTGTAGTTGAGGCTGCCTCTGGACGCGTGAGCATGCGTGCTGAGGACGTAGGTGGTGGTCGTGAGTGTGAGGTGTCGCCGCAGACGCTCGGCCACACGCACACGTGGGCCAACGTCCTTTCCGCTCCTCCCCGCGCTGCGGCGACTCTGCCCGCCCGACTAGAGCGCACGTCTGCCCACGCTTCTCGGAGCCAGCTGCATTCTCGCCCTCTCCCGAGCCCCGTGCGGGCGCGGAGCAGGTCTAGCGAGGGGGTCCCCGCTCCGCACCGGGAACCACGGGTCCAGGGACGCCCAGCTCCGGGGCTGAGGCCCCCAGCGGGATGCTCCGCACCGGAGAGCAGCTGGTCCGGGGATGCTTCACTCCGGGCCTGAGGCCGGGAAGGTGGCTCCCAGGGCCGGGAAGGGCGCAAAGCGGAGGCAACGCCGAGGAGCCGTGCTCCCTTCTGAGCCTAGGGAAGCAAGGTGCCCCTTACCTGAGGGACAACGTCAAAGCCGGGAGACTGCGCCGCGCTAGCCTCACACACCGAGCCGCCATGACCGCTGCTGGCCGCTGCCGTCACTGCGCACGCACTGGACATGCGCGTTGGCCAATGCCCCTTCTTCCCCGCCCCACTACTTCGCCCCAGCCAGTCGGTTAGCAGTTTTACTGTGATGAACAGATAGTAGTCACCAATAGTTACAGGGCACGGGAGTCCGAAGCGTCCCGGAGCCCAAGAAGAAGTGGAGGTGAAAGGTGAAGTGGGCAGTGGGAGGAGCCGCTGCCTGGGCGGGACGGGGTCGGCAGGAACCAATGGGGAGGAAGCATGAGAGCCCCTGGGCTGCATCGGAGGGCCGCAGGGGAGGGACCAGGGTCTCCACCTCTACCAGTGAGTTTCGTTTCATTTTATTTTTAGAGGAAGGGTCTCGCTCCATTGCAGAGGTGCTGTGATAGCTCCTGCGGCCTTGATCCTCTGGAGCGATCCTCTCACCTCAGTCTTCCGAGTAGCCGGACTACAGATGTGCACCGCCATGCCCAGATAAATTTTCTATTTTTTTAGAGACTGGGATCTCGCTGTGTTGAACTCCTGGGCTCAAGCGATTTTCCTGTCTCTGCTTCTCAAGAAGCTGGGATTACAGGTCTGAGTCACGGATCCCGGCCTACTAGTGAGTTTTAGTAAAACAAAAAACAAGATCCAGAAAGCAAGTGTGACCAAATGTTAGTTTTGATATTGAATGATGAGATCATGGGTGTTCGTTTTGTACTTTTCTATCGCCTTCAATTTTCTCAGAACACACAGACAACCCCCAATTAAGAACATCACATAGAAAAACTTGAGGACACAATTAAGGCTTCTAAATTTAGATGATTTTGTTAATCTGAATAGAGGTCAGTGGTACTATAGCACATGCCCATGCACAAGGAGAAGTTCTGGAAAAGGAGGTGCCTCTTGTTCTTATACCATTGTGCTGTCCTGCCTTAGCACTCCTGGGTCTGCAGTGTAACCCTGACTGCCAGGATCCCAGGGCTGAATCCTGTAGCCTCTCCCAAGATCCCGGGGCTGGAATCCTGTGGCTTCTGCTAGGTTCCCAGGGCTGGAGCCTGTGGCCTCCAAAGTTGAGTACTACCTACTGTGTTGGGTTTGTGAGGACCAAACCTTTATCACTGGGCCGTGCTCCCGTTAGTGTCATTCATTAAACTAGGGCTGGTTGACCACCTACTGTTTGCCAGGTACTGTGCCACCTGCAGAAGGGGGCAAACAGCCAGATCCAGAATGTGGGAGGGTCTGTAAGACAAATGACACTGTTTATTAATTAATAACTAATTGCTAATTAATTCAAGCCTGGAGAGAAAAATGGAACTGTTAAAGAATAAACGAGCTTAAAGACATGATTGAATTGACTGTGCAGAACTTAATTGGATCATGATAGACAAACCAGCTTTTACAAATGCATTTGTGAGACCATAGGGGAAATTTGAATGTAAACTAGGTATTAGATGATATTTGGGAGTTGTTGATATTTTGGTTAGGAAGTGATAATGGGTTGGTGTGGATGTAAAATGTCCCATTTGTTAGAGATGCCAAACATAAGTGTTTACAATAAATTGCCACAATGTCTGGAATTCAGCTAATAAATACTACAGTAAAAAAAGAAAAAATGAGGATTAGGAAACACAGTGGCAAATATTGATAGTGGTTGAAGCTGAGTGGTGAATATTATAGGCACTAAGACTATTTTCTCTTCTTTTGAATATGTTTGAAATATTCTGAAATAAAAGTTAAAACAATATCTCATATTTCTCATTGGCTCTGACCAAATCATGTAACTGTTTTCCACCTTGATCTACTTGCTGTAAAACTAGGATCTTATCATTTGTTGGGAGATTTAAAAGAGAAAAAAAATGTACATTTTCTTTGGGACTCAGATGGGCACCATGTAGCTCGGAGACCAATGAACAGATTTGTAGCTGCTGTGTCTCAAAACAGAGGCAAGCACAGGTCTCTGAGCCAGATGTCATGCTGGGACCTAAAACCACCAAAGCACAATGCCATGCCCTGTATCTGTAGCCAAAAGGATTGGATTTCCCAGATCTGCCAGGAAAAGGCCTGCCCCCTTGTGGCCACATCAGGAACAGCTCCAAAGAGACTGCAGCTCTTGGGAACTTACCTGTTCAGGTAGTTCCCTGAGGTTTGGAACTTGACTGCCGTGCAGGGAGTCTGCGTGGAGGTGGAGCTGCTTGTACGAAGACTCCTGGATCAGCCATCTGAGCCTGTGGCCAGCAATGGGTATGGGCGGTGCAACTGGGGGTTGGGGCTGCAGGAAGAACAAACTGAATGGCACATTGTGCTCCCAACAAGGATGTGGTGGTGTTTAAAAAGGAAAAATTTCCTCAGAAGAAGATCATGCAGATGGCTTGACAGCATGTTGACTGTGGGTGTGAGGCTCATAACAGCCAAGTGCCACCTGGACGCTAGTTCTGTGCTGGGTGCCTCAAAGGTGCCTTCTTGTGGATTAGTCCAAACATGGGTCCAGGAGGGAACCACTCAGCCAGGTGACATGACTTGAACAAGGTCGTGGTGGGAGAGACAAGGCAGAAACGTTTGTGTATTTCTCCTGATGGATTCCAGAATCTGTGTTGGGGCTGAAGCCAGAGCCTGCATCTGCCCACCCCAGAATGCCTGCTGCCATGAGCTGTGTTGTTATGTTCCCTCAGCAGATAAATGGGTTTTCATGCTTTTATTCAACTTATAATAGGTAAGCAAATTTAGAAAGATATGAGTATGATGTGTGTAGCAGACAATTCTAACGATGGGCCTGAGACTACTCCAGATTAATCAAATGCTAATGCAGGTGCTGATCTGCAGAGGCTTCGAGGATTTGGCCTTGAGATTAGAGATCATTGGATGTACTTGATCTTGTGAGCCCCTTAATAGCAAAGAGTTTTCTCCCGCTCGGAGCATAAAGCAAGGTCAAATGATTGAAAGCATGAGAAAGGGTGGAAATACCATTGCTGGTTTCAGTGTGGGAGGGATCAGTTGAGAAAGTATTTGGGGGCGGCACCTGTGGCTCAAAGGAGTAAGGCGCCAGTCCCATATGTCAGAGGTGCTGGGTTCAAACCCAGCCCCCGGGCCAAAAACTGCAAAAAAAAAAAAGAGAGAGAAGGTGTTTGGGTGACATCTAGGAGCAGAGGGTGGTCTCCCAAGGATAGTCAGCTGGGAGCTGGGGACCTCAGGCCTGTGGCTGCCAGGAGTTGGACTCTGCCAGTCACCTGACAGAGCCTCTGGGTAAGCCCAGCCTGACCCACACCTTGACTTTGATCTTGGGAGACCTAGAGGGGAGAACTTAGTTCAGGTCACTGAAGGCACATGGCAGTTCTGTGAGGCAGGCATTGCTTTTATTCTCCCACTTTAGTTTGGACTTCGGGACACAGAATAGATTCACCATAAACCTTGGTTCCTGTTATCATCAGCACGTCTTACTCTTGGTCTACTTCTGTGTGTTTGTTGAGGTGCTACATCGGGCCCCTTGGTGGAGAGGAACCGAGGTTCCCAGCCTAGGAGACACCCCTGGAGAAGGGAGCTTAACAGGCTGGCTGCAAATTCATTGCTGCTCCCCCAGGCACACTGGCTCCAAAGTGGGAATGATGCTCTTGGTAGGAAAAATAGCAGCAGACGGGGCCACAGACATTCAAGTTGAAAAACTTTCTCCAGAAAGAGCCAGACTTGACGAGAGGTGGTTTAATTAGGATAACCATTTGCAAAGGGAATGAGCAAATGCAGTTAATTAACAGCCATTTTCCTGAGAGCATTTGAACAAGCAATGTAGCCATCTGGATCTGTATCCAGGTGTAGCTCAGGTGCCTGCTGTGGGCATGGTCATCTCTTCCCTAATGCAGCCAGGGCAGCCAGAGAGGTGGGTGTGAGGGGGCCCTTGGCTGACCGGAAGGACAGTACAGGAGCAGGGAGGTGAACTCCTGGATCCTGAGGAGAGCTTCTTAGAAAGCCTGTGGACATGAGAGATAATTTGAGTCTCACTCAAATTACAAAAGCTGATTAAATTGTTCTTTACAAGCCCACTGTGATTTGAACCCTCCTGTGTGTCAGTTGAATCAGTCAGGCCGAAAAAAAAAAAGAAAAGAAAAAATAATAATTGTGAGAAGCTCTCTTGGTGAGGATTGGCAGGAGGGAACATTTCTCATTATACAAGTAATGGATGCTTATTATGGAAATGTTGGAAACTGTGAATGGCAGAGTTACTTGAGAATATTAGCCTCGGGTGGCACCTGTGGCTCAGTGAGTAGGGTGCTGGCCCCATATACTGAGGGTGGCGGATTCAAACCCAGCCCCGGCCAAACTGCTACAAAATGAATGGCAGGTTCCTGTGGTCCCAGCTACTTGGGAGGCTGAGGCAGGAGAATTGCCTAAGCGCAGGAGTTGGAGGTTGCTGTGAGCTGTGATGCCATTGCACTCTACTGAGGGTGATAAAGTGAGACTCTGTCTCTACCAAAAAAAAAAAAAGACTATTACCCTCCCCACTTCTGTGTTCCTTTCTTTTGCCCATGTAGGACTCTGTCTCCTTGACTATGCCCTTGACTGACCCCAAACTCAGAACAGGAGCCAAAGGAATCCTGACTTTATGGTCCCAAAGGCTGTGATGCTAAGAAATATTGGGTCTCTTTGAATCTTGGTCTCTTTGTCTTTGGACTAATGACACTTGCATTACTGTGAAAAGCAAGTGGCTTGCTGCGTTTTCTTCCAGGTAGCGATCAGTTCAGCGATGTTGCCTGTCACTGTTGAGGGGATCCAGGCACTGGTGCCCCATGGATCTGATGTGTTTAGCACTTCTCACTCCTACAAAGCACTTCCAGATCCATCCCAATGTTGAAAATCCAGCTACAAATTAGCTTCATTTGCTGAGATTGGATTGCACTGGTTTTCTGTCACTTAATAGCTGATGGCCATCAACAAAATAAGTCCTAAGGCCACACTTGAGGCAGGCATCATAACCCCAACTGACCAACAAGGGAGTGAATGGGCCAGGAAGAGCAGTGTACAATTGTGCTCTTCCCAGTGTACAATTGTCATCTGGTGTCACTGTAATATCCTGATGTCCACAGTGCTCT